GGGTTTTTGTACAGATCGTTGGCCAGGCTGGTCTTGAAATCCTGGCCTCAAGTGATCTGCCTGCCTTAGCCTCCCAAAGTGTTGGGATTACAGGTGTGTACCACCATGCCTGGCTGCAATATACTTTTGCAATTAATCTAAGTCCATATTATTCAAATAGCACTATAACATTTCACAGGTACTTTGAGTGTTTTATAACAAGATAGATAATCTTAATTTCACTCTCCTGTCCCTTGTTTTTGTTTGTTTTGTTTTTGAGACAGTCTCTCCTTCTGTCACCCAGGCTGGAGTGCAGTGGCATGAGCACAGCTCACTGCAGCCTCAATCTCCTGGGATCAAGCGATCATCTTGTCTCAGCCTCACCAATAGCTGGGACCACAGGCATGTGCTACCATACCCAGCAATTTTTTTTTTTTTTTTTTTTTTTTTAAATAGAGAAAGGGCCTCACTTTGTTACCCAGGCTGGTCTTGAACTCCTCCCCTCAAATGATCCTTGTGCCTTGGCCTCACCACTGTGTTGGGATTTCTTTTTTTTTTTTTTTTTTTTTTTTTTTTTGAGACAGAGTTTCTCTCTTGTTACCCAGGCTGGAGTGCAATGGCCCGATCTCAGCTCACTGCAACCTCCGTCATCTCCTGGGTTCAAGCAATTCTCCTGCCTCAGCCTCCCGAGTAGCTGGGACTACAGGCGTGCGCCACCGTGCCCAGCTAACTTTTTGTATTTTTAGTAGAGACGGCGTTTCACCATGTTGACCAGGATGGTCTCGATCTCTTGACCTCATGATCCACCCACCTCGGCCTCCCAAAGTGCTGGGATTACAGGCTTGAGCCACCGCGCCCAGCCTGTGTTGGGATTTCAAGGGTGAGCCAGCGTGCCTGTCCCTCTTGTCCCTTATATTGTTGTTATCATTTATGCATGAGTGTGCATGCAGCCATGTGCGTGCGCGCGCACACACACACAATTGAATACATTGTTGCTATTTTTTTTTTAACAAATTCATCTGTTAGATTTATTAAGAAAAATTTTTGTTTTACCTTCACTTTTTTTTTTTTTTTTTTTTTAATTTGTGGTACTTTTCCTTTCTTTATGCAGGTCCAAGTTTCTGGCCTTCATATCATTTCCTTCTCTCTGAAGAATTTTTTTTTTTAACGTTCCTTGCAAGGCAGATCTGCTGGTCACAGATTTTTAAATTTATGTTTGTCTGAGAAAGTCTTTATTTCTCCTTTACTGTGGGAGGATAATTTCACAGAGTACACCCTTCTAGGTTGGTAAGGATTTTTCTCAACACTTTTTACTTCGCTTTTTTCTTGTTTTGCATGGTTTCTGAGGAGAAGTAGGATGTAATTCTTATCTTTGTTCTTCTATAAGTAAAGTGGTTTTCTAGCTTTTATCAGTATTTTTTTTTAATCCTTAATATTCTGTAGTTTGTCTGTATGTCTAGGAGGAGGTTTAGGGGGTGGATTTGTCCTGCTTAGTGATCTCTGAGCTTCTTGGATCTGTAGTTTGGTGACTGAAGTGAATTTGGGGAAATTCTAAGTGTAATTCTTTTCTTTCTTTCTTTCTTTTTTTTTTTTAATATGGAACGCTTCACGAATTTGCGTGTCATCCTTACGCAGGGGCCATGCTAATCTTCTCTGTATCGTTCCAATTTTAGTATATGTGCTGCCGAAGTGAGCACCTAAGTGTAATTCTTACGTTTATTTTTATTTTTTTCCTTCTTGTATTCCCGGTATATGTATGTTGCATGTTTCGTAGTTGTCCCATAGTCATTTGATATTCTTTTGTGTATGTATTTTTTAAGTCTTTGTGCACTTCACTTGCCAATTTTGGAGGTTTCTATTGATGTATCCTCATTCTTATAAGATTCTTTTCTCAGCCTTGCCCAAGTTAATAAGCCCATCAGAGGCTCTGTTCATTTCTTTTACATTATTTTTGGACCCTAGCATTTCTCTTTGGTTCTTTCTGAGGATTTTCATCTCTACTTACTCTGCCTGTTCTTGCATGACATCTAGTTTATCCATTAAGGGGCGTCATATTTGTAGTTGTTTTAAATTGCTGCTGGTTGCATAATTCCATTTCTGTGTCACGTATAGTTCTGATCCTTGCTCTCTTTCCTCCAAGTGTGTTCTTTCACCTTTGGTATGCCTTGTGATGTTTTCTTTTCTTACCTCCCCCTTTTTTTTTTGAGATCTAGTTTTGCTCTTGTCACCCAGGCTGGAGTGCAGTGGCACGATGTTGGCTCACTGCAGTCTCCACCTCTCAAATTCAAGCGATTCTCCTGCCTCAGCCTACCAAGTAGTTGGGATTACAGGAATCCACCACCACACCCAGCTAATTTTTGCATTTTTAGTAGAGACGGGGTTTTACCACGTTGGCCAGGCTGGTCTCGAACTCCTGACCTCAGGTGATCCACCTGCCTTGGCCTCCCAAAGTGCTTCTGATGTTTTCTTGATAGCTAGACATGATGACCTCAGGAAAAGGAATTGCTGTAAATAGGCCTTTAATAATGTGATGGTGAGATATGCCAGTGGGCAGGGGAAGCATTTTAAGTCCTGCAGGTAGGTCTCAGTGTTGTTTTTTTTTTTTGAGACGGAGTTTCGCTCTTGTTACCCAGGCTGGAGTGCAATGGCGTGATCTCGGCTCACCGCAACCTCCGCCTCCTGGGTTCAGGCAATTCTCCTGCCTCAGCCTCCTGAGTAGCTGGGATTATAGGCACGCACCACCATGCCCAGCTAATTTTTTTTTTTGTATTTTTTAGTAGAGACGGGGTTTCACCATGTTGACCAGGATGGTCTCGATCTCTTGACCTTGTGATCCACCCGCCTCGGCCTCCCAAAGTGCTGGGATTACAGGCTTGAGCCACCGCGCCCGGCGGTCTCAGTGTTTTAGTGAGTCTGTTCCTCTTGACTGAAATTCACGTGCCTCTAAATTTTGGTTTTTTTTTTTTGCTTTTTCTCTCCCATTATCTGGAAGAGGATTACTAGAATGGGCTGTAGTTGGTTATTTCCATAGTCTGTCCCTAGGTAAGACTAGGCTCTGATAACACCTCTGCAGGTTAAGCTCTGATTAACTGTTGTCTCCTGAGGACAGGCTTCGTTTAGAGTAGGCGTCCCCAAACTACGGCCCATGGGCCGCATGCGGCCCCCTAAGGCCATTTATCCGGCCCCCCGCCGCACTTCAGGAAGGGGCACCTCTTTCATTGGCAGTCAGTGAGAGGAGCACAGTATGTAGCGGCCCTCCAACGGTCTGAGGGACAGTGAACTGGCCCCCTGTGTAAAAAGTTTGGGGATGCCTGGTTTAGAGGAACACATTGCTATGGCATATTTTAAAATGATTCATTTTCTCCTCTCTGCTGGAAGCACAAGAGGATTTTTTTCACCAGTATGTACCATGAGAACTTGTTTAAGACTCTGGAGGTAAATATTGCAAGATTGTAGGGGCTATCACTGAGTACCTCTTGAATTTTCAGCTCACGGAACTGTCCACACAGAGCTTCTAGCAATTTATGCATTGTAGATTGGGTTTTCCTAACCTGGCGAGGGTTTGCATGATGATTTCCTTTCGTGAGTTTCTGCTCCTGTAAGCCTTGATTCTCCTGTATTCCTTTGTTTTTTATCTCCAGTCTTGGGGGCAGCAGTGTGTCCTGATCTTTCCTGTGGATCCCAGAAGAGCTGTCCATTTTTCAGTCTGTTTAACTCTTTACTTGCTGTTGTGATGGAGTGGCCACTTCCTATTCTGTTGTGATGGAGTGGCCACTTCCTATTCTACATGCAGAATAGGAAACCGAAGTCCAGGAGTTAGGCCTTCACAATATGGAGTCTTCTGTTGGGAACCCTTAGTGATGATATCAGGTGCACAGCAAGGGACAGACATGTGGAGTTCAGGGAAGGGATCCAAGTGAAAGCTATCCATCAGCCAGTGGCTGGCATGTGGACCATTGTAGATTTAAGAGGAGCACTCGGTAGGTCCTAGTGGCAATGCCAACAGCAAGGAAGGATATAAAGAGTATTCTGTAATGACTGGGTCTTGCACGGTCACCTAGATAGAAGTGGGAACCATCACCAAGACAAACAAAGAAGAGTAGTAACCACGGGTGTGTGGGGTAGGATGAAAAGGGTGTCTAGCTGTTGGCACAGTCTTTAAATGGGCAGTGGTTAAGAGATTCATTCAGAGGCAAAGCAGTACTGGAGGTCAAATGACACCAAGTTCAGGCCTGGTGCTTTTTCTTCCTCTGCTGGCTCAGACTTTTGTTGGTAACTCTTGGTGGGGCCTGAGTAGTTTCAGACAGGGTGACAGATTAGGGTAAAGGCAAATGAGATTGACTGGGAGAGTCATTCAGCATGTGGTGGGGCCAGGCTCTGACTGAGTATATAGGTGGAGAGAGGAAAGATGTGACATTTGGGGACAGCACAGGCAACACTGAGACAGAAGTGGGCTTTGGCAACTGAGCTCACACAAGTTCTGAGTGCCTGAAATTGGAACAAAGAGCCAGGCCAGATGGAGAAGAGTTCATAACAGTCCTGAGACTGCCTCTGAATTGGGTCTGACAGAGATGTGTGGTGGTGCTGGATCCTTGTTGCATTTAGCAAGTGCTGCCTGCGTCCCTTGAGCAGAGTGGCATGTGGAGAAGCCAGTGAAGTACTGTGTCATGGATGCTGAGGGCAGTGGAGTTTAGGGTGTGGCAGTCATGGTCTGGAGATGTGAGGGAGCTTTGTTCCCGTGAGTGGTATTTAAATGGGAAGGGAGTATGGGTGTACTCAGGATCCTTGTACTGACACTTTAAGCCAAGAGAGTAAGCACAGGTTTCAGTATATCTGGGTCTCTAGGGAGATGAACTAGCAGGAACATGAGTGAGATTCCATTGTGTCAGACCGAGAGCCCAGTGGGAGATACCATAAGGACCTGGTGTCTCCTCTGAGTTGGAGAACTAGGGAGGAGGGAGATTTACTGGGGTTCCTGGGGATTGAGTCTGCTCATGATCTCACCTGCCCCCATCATGCAGGGCCATGTGACCTTTGAGGATATTGCTGTGTACTTCTCCCAGGAGGAGTGGGGCCTCCTTGATGAAGCTCAGAGGTACCTGTATCATGACGTGATGCTGGAGAACTTTTCGCTTATGACCTCAGTGGGTAAGATCTCTTAAAAGCACCCCGTTGACCTCTGTTGGACTCTGCTCTTTCCCTTTTTCCAGGAGTGTCCCTGTCTTTTCCAGAGTTGGACATGGGCCCTGCTTCTTTCCTTGGTTTCTTGACCTGTGGATGACATAGGTGCTGTGGTTGCCAGGCCTGGGCTTTTTGCAGCCGCAACATCTACTGTCCTGAAGCCTTTTAGTTAAGAGTTTGGGTTCAGACTCTTGTAACCTGCCCAACCAATACCACTTGGTTTTGCCATTTCTTGGTAAGGTGATTGTTCAGTTCTGTGGCGGACCTGGGTTACCAGTTCTCCCCTTGCCTTTAGTAGACTTGTCTTTGGACCTGCCTTTCTCAGGAATAACAGGTACTTACATGGTTGGTATTTGTAGGGATTTCTAGACTATGACAGCAAGACCCTCTCCCAAGGCTTTTTAAAAAAATAAATGTCCCTCCTGTAGTCTGTCATGGGTTGGTGTACTCTGGGCCAGTGTTGTTGACCCACCTCCCTATTTTTCCCTTGAGACTTCTACCTTCCAGGACCCAGATAGTCTCCTGACTTAAGCCAAGGACAGGAGAGAGGCCTGTGTTTATGAAAGGGTAGTGAAGTCTTCAACCACAGCAAGGGGGGTTAACAAGGTTTGGGACCTGTGAGTAGAAGCAGTGGCATGATTTCAGGGCTGAACTCAAATCATACCAGGCAAATGTCTTGTGTTCCCTATTATTTTAGTGCCAGGGTTCATGGGCATACCTCATTTTTCTCTTTTCTCTGCCTACTTGACGTTTTGCCTACTTGGCATTTCTACTGTGATTGTCCCCTACCTCTGTTCTCCACATCTCTCCTGTTCCTATTTTGCAGTGTTCTCCAACATTAGCCTATACCTAATAAATTTAATATTATGAGCTGTGCATATGCAGATGTTCGTCAGCTCATGATGGGGTTATATCCTGATAAACCCATTGTAAGTGGAGAATATTGTTAAGTCTGAAATGCGTTTAATACACACAGCTTACCAGCCATTGTAGCTTAGCTATACAGTAGAGTATCAGTTGTTTAGCCTTGTGATTTCATGACTTACTGGGAGCTGTAGCTTGCTACCACTACATCACAAGAGTATACATACTGCATATCACTAGCCTGGGAAAAGTTCAAAATTCAAAGTATGTTTTCTACTGAATGCATATCACTTTGATACCGTCATAAAGTGGAAGAATCATAAGTTCAACCATTGTAAATCAGAGACTGTCTATTTCAGTTCTCAAACATCAGCTATTGAGTTGTAATTGCACTTTCCTGGAGTGACACATTCTATGCAGGTCTCCCCTGTCTCCATGAGACAATGTCCTGTTGAAAACCATTGACAGAGAAGTGAGTTATAGATGCCCCCTGCCTCTCTTTCCACCATAGCACCCTATTCTTTGTTCTCTCTGGTTATGGTCTTCCTCCACATGGTAACCTTAAGAGGCCTAGTACTGCAAGTACTGTCTCCCTTGACCTGACTCCAGCTCCCTTGCTGAAAACAAACACATGGGCTGAGTGCAATGGCTCATACCTATAATCCTAGCACTTGGGGAAGCTAAGGTGGGAGCATCACTTGAGCCCAGGAATTTGAGACCAGCCTGGGCAACATAGTGAGACCCTCATCTCCACAAAAAATTCTTAAAAAAACTAGCTGGGCAGCCGGGCGCGGTGGCTCAAGCCTGTAATCCCAGCACTTTGGGAGGCCGAGGCGGGTGGATCACAAGGTCGAGAGATCGAGACCATCCTGGTCAACATGGTGAAACCCCGTCTCTACTAAAAATACAAAAAAATTAGGTGGGCATGGTGGCACGTGCCTGTAATCCCAGCTACTCAGGAGGCTGAGGCAGGAGAATTGCCTGAACCCAGGAGGCGGAGGTTGCGGTGAGCCGAGATCACGCCATTGCACTCCAGCCTGGGTAACAAGAGCGAAACTCCGTCTCAAAAAAAAAAAAAAAAAAAAAAAAAACAAAACTAGCTGGGCATGGTGGTGTGTGCCTGTAGTCTCAGCTAGTCAGGAGGCCGAGATAGGAGTGTCACTGGAGCTTGGAAGGTCAAGGCTGCAGTGAGCTATGATTGCAACTGCATTCCAGCCTGGGTGATAGAGTAAGACACTATCTCTTGGGAAAAAAAAAGAAAAAAAAAAAAGGACTCATTCCTCCCTGTGTTCCACAGGTGTTTGTAATGGGGCTGTTCCCTTCCACCAAAGTCTGCATACACTTCACTTGCATTTTTATGCTTTTAGGTTGTTTGCATGGAATAGGGGCTGAGGAGGCCCCTTCTGAGCAGATTGTTTCTGTAGAAGGAGTGTCACAGGCCAGGACTCCCAAGCCAAGTTCTTCCATCACAAATGCTCATTCCTGTGAGATGTGTATCCTGGGCATGAAAGACATTTTGTACCTCACTGAGCACCAGGGAACACTTCCCTGGCAGGAACCTTACACTTCTGCAGCCAGTGGGAAATGGTTTTCATTTGGTTCTAACCTGCAACAGCACGGAAACCAGCACAGTGGAGAGAAACACATCAGAAAGGAGGACAGCAGTGCCTTCCTTCTGAGTAGCTGCAAAATTCCTCTGCCAGACAATCTTTTCCCATGCAAAGATGTTGAGAAGGATTTCCCAACCATCCTGGGCCTTCTCCAGCACCAGACCACCCACAGCAGAGAAGAGTATGCACATAGAAGCAGGGAGACCTTTCAACAAAGACACTGCAAATGGAGCAAATGTGAGCAAGTTTTCAGTGAGAAGGTTCATGTTACTGATCATCAGAGAGTCCACACTGGAGAAAAAGCTTATAAACACAGGGAATATGGGAAATCCTTGAACTCTAAACACTCATTTGTTGAACACCAGAGAACCTATAATGCAGAAAAGCCTTATGTGTGCAATATATGTGGGAAATCATTCCTCCATAAACAAACACTCGTTGGGCACCAGCAGAGAATTCACACTAGAGAAAGGTCTTATGTATGCATCGAATGTGGGAAATCCTTGAGCTCCAAATACTCACTTGTGGAACACCAGAGAACACATAATGGAGAAAAGCCTTATGTGTGCAATGTATGTGGGAAATCATTCCGCCACAAACAAACATTTGTTGGGCACCAGCAGAGGATCCATACCGGAGAGAGGCCTTATGTATGTATTGAATGTGGGAAATCTTTTATTCATTCCTATGACCGCATTCGACACCAGAGAGTTCACACTGGAGAAAGGGCTTATCAATGCAGTGAATGTGGGAAATCTTTCATATACAAACAGTCACTTCTTGATCACCAGAGAATCCACACGGGAGAAAGGCCTTATGAGTGCAAAGAATGTGGGAAAGCCTTCATCCACAAAAAAAGACTTCTTGAGCACCAGAGAATTCATACTGGAGAAAAGCCTTATGTGTGCACCATATGTGGGAAATCATTTATCCGCTCATCTGACTACATGCGACACCAGAGAATTCACACTGGAGAAAGGGCTTATGAATGCAGTGAATGTGGGAAAGCCTTCATTTCCAAACAAACACTTCTTAAGCACCGCAAAATCCACACTAGAGAAAGGCCTTACGAATGTAGTGAATGTGGAAAACGCTTCTTCCTTGAGGTTAAACTTCTTCAGCACCAAAGAATCCATATTAGAGAACAACTTTATGAGTGCAATGAATGTGGAAAAGTGTTCAGCCATCAAAAAAGACTTCTTGAGCACCAGAAAGTTCACACTGGAGAAAAGCCCTGTGAGTGCAGTGAATGTGGGAAGTGCTTTAGACACCGCACCAGCCTCATTCAACACCAGAAAGTTCATAGTGGAGAGAGGCCTTATAACTGCACTGCATGTGAGAAGGCCTTTATCTATAAAAACAAACTTGTTGAGCATCAGCGAATCCACACTGGAGAAAAGCCATATGAGTGTGGTAAATGTGGGAAAGCCTTCAACAAAAGATATTCCCTTGTCAGGCACCAGAAAGTTCATACAAGAGAAGAGCCCTAGCAGTGTTGGGATGTGCCATTATCTTATCCAGTATAACACACCAGAGAGCCGATTTTTCAAGGGGTCCAACGATAGAAATTGAACCTCATATATCTGCATATCAATGCTTGAAAGATTCACTACAAGGTCCAAGTATTTGGGTAGCTTTCTGGAGATTACTTGTACTTTCTAATCTGCCCAGTGTTACAACAGACATTATTACCATGTGGCATATCCTTATAGTTTTCATCAGTCACTCACGTGTGCCCAGGGAATGCAGATATTTTTGCTCATCCAATTCTGAAGGGAATAATGAATAATAAAAAGCTTATTGAGGGTCCTCTTCCATCTTGCTGAACTGATCGAGGCATAGACAAAACTCAGCTTTGACCAAGAAGAGTGATCTGGATTCTTGTAGCCCATGGAGGTTTACCTTCTTCATAGGTTTTTTTTTTTTTTTAATGTGATGGCCATGGTAGGTAGGATATTCCCTCCTACACATTACTGAAGACGGAAGTGGACTGTCTCACTCTGTGCTGATGTATGTGTTCTGCCAGTGTGAAGGGTGAACAGCTCGAATTTTCTGTGCCAAGGACATAGTATGAAATCAGAAAATAGTTCTTAGTCCTGTTTGTCTTAATTTTTATTGGTTTCAAAGGTCTCCTAGGAAAGACAGCAGAGCTTCATGGTCCTAATCATGGTGTTGATGCCAAATTTATTTTTAGGTCCAGAGGTCTCCTTGAGAAAAGGCATTTGTGACAAACTCAAGTGCTGGGATCTGCATGAATTGTTTATTTGCAGTGATGCTCCATATTTCCTAACATTGTTCATGGCATCTTATTTCCCAGATCTTTCATTGTAGCCATGAGCACTAAAGGACAAAATTGGTAGGCAGGTCACTAGTTTTAAGACCTTCTGGGGCCAGGTGAGAACAATAGTTGGCCCAGACAGATAGGTGTGATAAATAGAGTGGAAAAGATTCTAGCCAAGAAGAGTAAATGTGTTCCATCCAAAAGTACATCCAGAAATATCTATGTTAATGTGGCTTCATGGTTTGGTGGTATACAGAGATTCTCAGGACCTCAGATCTTTGTTTCTCCTTTGGCAACAGTCATCGTCAGAATAAGTCATCTAAAGATTTTGTGGACTCCCATAACTTCTGTACTGTTTTTGAGATGATTGCCGCACAAGCAGGAAAGCAAGATTTGAATGAACATAGACCTTGCCTTCCAGATATGGGGTTTTGGTGATTCAACCAGATCTGTTGTGCCAGTTAGGAATTATCTTCGTTACTTCCCATTTGTTGCTGCTGCTGAGAAGTCTGTCCTTCCTAACTTGTGAGGAGAGGAATCTTTAATAATAAGTAAATCTTGTGTTACCCTATAGTCTGGTGTTCCAAAAGGAGAAGTAGATGCCTATTTTTGTGTGGAACAATTTATCTTACAACATTGAAGCGCAGTTTTCATACACAAAACCTATCTTTTTAAGAATTCTGTTAGTAAAAAAAATATATATATAGTAAACCGACTTAAAACTAGAAACTAAAAAAAAAAAAGAAAAGAATTCTGTTTTATTGGCTAATAATGGGTTTTGATATTAATGTAATGTCAGTAAGTATCTAGTCTTAGAAATATGTGTGTATATATTCTATTTTATGCCTTTTCATTCACCTTATTTCAGTCTTCCAAATAAAATGTTCTCAATATTGGTGAAGTCTAATTTGTCTGTGTGTTCTTTTACTGATTGTTATTTAGGTGCTATTTAAAAATGCATTCCTCGGCCAGGTGTGGTGGCAACACCTGCAGTCCCTGCACTTTGGGAGGCTGAGGTGGGTGGGATCACCTGAGGTGAGGAGTTTGAGACCAGCCTGGCCAACATGGCAAAAGCTTGTCTCTACTGAAAATACAAAAATTAGCCGGGCGTGGTGGTGGGCACATGTATCCCAGCTACTCAGGAGGCTCAGGTGGGAGAATTGTTTGAACCCAGGAGGTGGAGGTTGCAGTGAGTCGAGATTGTGCCACCTGCACTCCAGCTCTGGCAAAAAGAGTGAGACTGTGTCTCAAAAAAAACCAAAAGTATTCCTAATTTAAAAACACAATTTTTTAAATGTTCCCTTCTGAAACTTTTACAGTTTAGGTGTTTTATTTGTGTCTATGATCATATTTACTTAATTTTTCTCTTCTTTTTAAAATATGGAGGATGCTCAATTGCTGCAGCAACATTGATTTAAGATTATTCTTCAATGAGTTGATTTTGTACCTTTATTCAATATCAGCTAATCATTTGTGTATATTTCCTTCTGTACTTTCTACTCTGTTAAATTTATATATTTGTATTTTTGCCAGTACTTTCATGTGTTTAGTGATGTGTTTTTATAAAGTCTTGAAATCATGGCCATGTACTACTACAACATCTTTTTCAAAGTTGTTTTGACTGTTCTTGTTCCTGTGCATTTTAATATCAATTATAAATCCACTTGTCAATTTATACAGAAAGAAATTTAAAAACTAGGATTTTTATTGGCATTGCACTTTACCTATGGATCTAAAGAAGGACACTCAATGTTCTAATTCCTAAAGATGAGATACCTAGCCTCTGATTTAGGCCTTATTAAATTTTTTAAAGTTAATTAATTTATTATACTTTAAATTCTGGGGTATATGCGCAGAATGTGCATGTTTGTTACATAGGTATACGTGTGCCATGATTGTTTGCTACATCCATCACCCTGTCATCTACATTAGGTATTTCTCCTAATCCTATCTCTCCCCAGTCCCCCCACCCACTTCTATCCCTCCACTAGGCCCCCAACCCGCAACAGGCCCTGATATGTGATGTCCCCCTTCCTGTGTCCATGTGTTTTCATTGTTTAACTCCCACATATGAGTGAGAACATGTGGTGTTTGGTTTTCTGTTCTTGTGTCAGTTTGCTGACAATAATGGTTTCCAGCTTCACTCATGTCCCTGCAAAAGACATGAAGTTGTCCTTTTTGATGGCTGCATAGTACTCCCTGGTATATATGTGCCACATTTTTTTTTTATCTAGTCTGTCATTGATGGGCATTTGGGTTGGTTCCAAATCTTTGCTATTGTGAACAGTGCTGCAATAAACATGCGTGTGTGTGTGTCTTTATAATACAACGATTTATAATCCTTTGGATATATACCCAGTAATGAGATTGTTGGGTCAAATGGTATTTCTACTTCTAGATCCTTGAGGAATTGCCACACTGTCTTCCACAATGGTTGAACTAATTTATACTCCCACTAACTGTAAAAAGCGTTCCTATTTCTCCATGTCCTCTTCAGCATCTGTTGTCTCCTGATTTTTTAATGATTGTCATTTAACTGGAGCGAGATGGTATCTCAATGTGGTTTTAATTTGCATTTCTCTAATGACCAGTGATGATAAGCTTTTTTCCCATATGTTTGTTGACTGCATAAATGTCTTCTTTTGAAAAATGTTTTCATATCCTTTGCCCACTTTTTAATGGGGTCATTTTATTCTTATATTAGCCCTTTGTCAGATGGGTAGATTGCAAAAATTTTTTCCCATTCTGTTGGTTGCCATTTCACTCTAATGATAGTTTCTTTTGCTTTACAGAAGATCTTAAGTTTAATTAGATTCTATTTGTCTATTTTGGCTTTTGTTGCCATTGCTTTTGATGTTTTAGTCATGAAGTCCTTGCCCATGCATATGTACTGAATGGTATTGCCTGTGTCTTCTAGGGTTTTTATGGTGTTAGGTCTTATGTTTAAATCTTTAATCCATCTGGCGTTAATTTTTGTATAAGGTATAAGGAAGGGGTCCAGTTTCAGCTTTCTGCATATGGCTAGCCAGTTTTCCCAACACCATTTATTAAATAGGGAATCCTTTCCTCATTGCTTGTTTTTGTCAAGTTTGTCAAAGATGGTTGTAGATTTGTGGCATTGTATCTGAGGCCTCTGTTCTATTCCACTGGTCTGTATGTCTTGTTTGGTACCAGTATTTCAAGCCAGTGGATCTTAGCTTGCTGTTCTTCATGGGAGTGGGACCCACTGAGCCAGATCACTTGATTCCCTGGCTTCAGCCCCATTTCAGGGGAATAAGCCATTTTGTCTAACTGGCATTCTAGGCACTACCGGGGTATGAAAAAATAAATCTGCTGTGGCTAAAATGGCCACCCAGTTTTGTGCTAGAAATCCCAGGCACTGGTATTATAGGCACCAGAGGGAATCTTCTGATCTGCAGGTCGTGAAGGCTGTGGCAGTAGCGCAGTATCTGAGCCAGAGTGTCAGGAAATGTCCCTAATGGCTTCCCTTGGTCAGGATGGGGAGTTATCCAGCCCCTTGCACTTCCTGGGTGAGGCGACACCCCACCCTGCTTTGGCTTGCCCTCCTTTTGGCTACACCCACTGTCTAACCAGTCCCAATGAGATGAACCTGGTACTTCTGTTGGAAACGCAGAGATTGCTTGCCTTATGGATTGCTCTCGCTGGGAACTATGGACTGGAGCTGTTCCTATTTGGCCATCTTGGCAGAAGTCCTCTTATTAAATTTTTATCTGCAGTGTGGTGGTTTTTTCTGCATATGTCTTGCAAGTCATATATCCAGTTATTTTCTCTATCCTATGCTATTGAAAATTTTAATTTTATTGACCACCCACCTTGGCCTCCAAAGTGCTGGAATTACAGGCATGAGCCACTGCATCTGGCCAAGTGTGCTCTTTCCATTTAAGAAGCCTCGCTAGGCCGGGCGCGGTGGCTCAAGCCTGTAATCCCAGCACTTTGGGAGGCCGAGGCGGGTGGATCACGAGGTCAAGAGATCGAGACCATCCTGGTCAACATGGTGAAACCCCGTCTCTACTAAAAATACTGAAAATTAGCTGGGCATGGTGGCGTGTGCCTGTAATCCCAGCTACTCAGGAGGCTGAGGCAGGAGAATTGCCTGAACCCAGGAGGCAGAGGTTGCGGTGAGCCGAGATCGCGCCATTGCACTCCAGCCTGGGCAACAAGAGCGAAACTCCGTCTCAAAAAAAAAAAAAAAAAAAGAAGCCTCGCTAGAGGCCGGGTGTGGTGGCTCAAGCCTGTAATGCCAACACTTTGGGAGGCCAAGGCGGGTGGATCACGAGGTCAAGAGATCAAGACTATCCTGGCCAACATAGTGAAACCCCAACTTTACTAAAAACACACACACACACACACACACACACACACACACACACACACTCAAATTAGCCCAGCGTGGTGGTGGTGTGTGCCTGTAATCCCAGCCACTCAGGAGGCTGAGGCAGGAGAATTGCTTGAAACCGGAAAACGGAAGTTGTAGTGGTCTGGGATTGGTCACTGCACTCCAGCCTGGCGATAGAGCTAGACTCCATCTCAAAAAAAAAAACAAACAAAAAAAAACTCACTGGAAACCCTGATTGAAGGGCAGGTTTGTAACTGAGTATCCCAGCCTTGAGATGTATTTTAATGTTTTTCTTTCCTTTTTCTTCCTAATCTTGGAATGTAGCCTTGAAACGTACTTTAAAACCCTTTGTTTCCCTTCATTTCCTGCCAGCTGCTGCTGTGCACAGTGCCTGCTTATCTAATTATGTGCTTGCTTAGAAATTCCAGGGGCTAATTTTGAAACAAATAAGTCATAGAGACCCAGGTGCGAAATTCTAGGGATTACTACAACCTGGCCACTGTTGAGATGATGCCAGCCTGCACTTCAGGGGGTAGGGGGATTGGGGAGGGATAACATTAGTAGAAATACCTAATGTAGATAACGGAGATATAGATGCAGCAAGCTACCATGGCATGTGTATACCTATGTAACAGACCTGGCATGATCTGCACATGTACCCCAGAACTTAAAGTATCATTTTTAAAAAATCCTTACTAAGGATTAAGATGCTGTAAGAATCAGTGCCAAACTAAAACTAATTTTAAAGCCAGTAGCATAATTTTTTGAGTTATGCTTGAGTATTCAAAAATCCTAACAAGTCAAAAATATTAAAGCTGATAAAGATATCTTTCCCATTAAATACTTCCATAAACTTCAGAACCAAACAGATACTAACAAAAGACTGAAGAAGATACATATGATGTCATTAGTATCAAGGGACTAGCCCATATAATATACTTGAAAATCTTATTAACATCAATAAAGTGCCCCACCATAAACAAAATACCGCAATAAAAAGTTAGGATACAAATAAAGACAGACCAACATATGAGCAGACCATGGACAGAAGAGAAACAAAAGGCAATGATGAATTAATGTTCAAATATATTTTAATCTGAGAAACAAATACCAGATAGATATTCTATTGTATATCACTTTAAACTTCTAAAATAAGTAAGAAAAACTGGAAAGCTGGGTAATTCTAAACATTGTCTGGGACACAGTCATACAGAAACACTTTTGTCCATTTTACGGGAGATAAAAGGGTAATCTATACCATAATTCTAGTTACATACTGGATTGCCATATGACCTGTGAATACCGTCGCCCTGTGAATTTCTGCAGTTCTTCAAAGGCCAGAGTGAACAATAACCGTAGCAATTTCAAGATAAACAGGCTTCTACTGTGAGACGGCTTGTTTAAAGAAACTCTTAATTCCCTATACTCTTCTGATTAGTCTGTTGTTCACATTCATTTTAGAATTTCTCTTCCAAATTACTTCTGGTGCTTTGCTTCCTGCTTCCTTCATTTCCTTCACTGTTCTAGTTCTATTACATTTTTATTCCATCAGCGATTTCTTAAATTTCTCTTTTCAACCTTAAGTGGTTTTTCTGAAATTATAAAATTTACTGTAAACATTTCAAACATTTCACTCTGACACTCTCCTCTGCTTCATCCCTTCCCTCCCTCTATACCCAAGGAGCAAATACTATATAACTAGATGAGGATCCTTCCAGACACATTTTTTTGTTTAGTTACAGACATTAAAATTTCTAATTCAGCTGGGCATGGTGGCTCATGCATGTAATCCTAGCACTTTGGGAGGCTCAGGTGGGTGGATTGCCTGAGCTCTGGAGTTCAAGACAAGCCTGGGCAACATGGTGAAACCCTGTCTCTACTAAAATACAAAAAAATTAGCTGGGCATGGTGGCATGTGCCTGTAATCCCAGTTACTTGGGAGGCTGACGCAGGAGAATTGCTTGAACCTAGGAGGTGGAGGTTGCAGCGAGCCAAGATTGCACCATTATACTCCAGCCTAGGCAATACAGTGAGACTCCGTCTCAAAAAAAAAATTTCTAATTCATCTTTGCATGACCGACTTGCTAAATTAATTCACCTTCCACATTTCCTCTGTGAGATTTACTAATTGAAGTACACCAACAGTGAATGGTCATAACTAGTCCCACCCCCACAATCATTTCCCACATATTAAGCACCATAAGAGCATGGTGCCTTTTATATAATTTGCTCATTAAATGTAACAAAGTTATAATAACAACTGTGAACATGAAAACATGTTTTAGCTTAATCATAAACTTAGTATTTGTGGAAAGCATACAGAATTAAGTTCAGAACTTTTACTGACTTAAAAATGGGTGCTACAACAATTTTAGGTTAATATATTACAGCTGTTCTCATGTGTTTTTCCTATAATAGTAAGTCCCTTCCCTGCTCAAGGGCAGTACCCATAGCCCAGCCATCCATGTACCCTACTCTTCCAAGTATGACCACAACAGTGAGTGGCCATGCCGCTGAAGGATGGGTGTCTCATGAGATTCCTGCCTATCACAGCAGCAAGTTACAGTAGATCCATGTACCAAACACTTAAGTAAAGACTGTACAGAAAGAACTGAAAGCTAAGAAAAACGCTAGGGTGTCCTTTATCCCATGGAAAACATCACTCCTGCTTTGGTACAAATTGGGGCCCAGGTCCTGAGGCCTGGAAAGAACACTTTGATGATGGCCAATATGTTTCTAGAGGGATCTCTCCAACTCTCTTGAACCCAGGGCCTTAGGTACAAGTACAGCCACAGCTACAATACATGCAGCCTTCCAGAGAGAGGATGCAGGAGGGTGGGGATCCTCAAGAGTCAACTCTCCTTCCCAAAGAAGAGGAAACTGTGCTCTCTGTCCTGAAAAAACAAAAACATAGAAATCTTAATTCACCAAGAATTGTATTTATAATACATAATATGTGCAAAAGCACCACAGTAAAAGGTACATGCCTACTATGAAAACATGAAATATATATGCAGTGTTTTAAGGCTGTGAGGAAAGTTCAAAATGAGAAAATGAGAATTTTCTATTTTTCAAACAATACATGTTTTAACCTAACACTGATTCTCTCATGTAGCTTGAAAACTAATTCTAAGAAAATCTCACAAAAGGAATTTCAAATTACCATATTCAGGTTGAGTGCAGTGGCTCACACCTGTAATCCCAGCATTTTGGGAGGCTGAGGCAGGTGGATCACCTGAGGTCAGGAGTTCGAGACCAGCCTGGGCAACATGGCAAAACTCTGTCTCTACTAAAAATACAAAAAGTAGCTAGGCGTGGTAGTGCATGCCTGCAATCCTAGCTTCTCAGGAGGCTGAGGCAGGCGAATCACTTGAAGTTGGGAGGCAGAGGTTGCAGTGAGCCAAGATCGCACTACTGCACTCCAGCCTGGGTGACAGAATGAGACTCCGTCTCAAAACAAAACAAAACAAAATAAATTACCATATTCAATGCTAGCACCAAGGGAATAAGTTCATGCTGGTTAACTATGAAATGCACATAAACCTCCACGCCTACATCCTGATTCACCTGTTAAAATGCTAGGCATTTTATTTTGTAGCAAAACTTCACACAAACATGTACAAGATCAGACAATAAGATTCCTCTCCATGTTGTTTTCTTGGGCTTACCATGGATTCATCTTAGCTCTGTGTTTTATTTTGCTGTTTTAGCCCTAATTATTCCCTAGAAAAATGCTAAGGGGGACCTGAAAATACCCCTCTACACAGGATTAAAGAACCTGAGAAACACCAGAAAGAATTAGGACTCACCTGACAGGGCCAAGCAGATACAAAGTGACTATGTTGCCAGAGAAAACAAAGACAACAAATAGAATGAAATTAGGAAAATATGAGAGTGCTGAGCATTTGAAACCATATTAGGCTTGGTGTGTTGGCTCACACCTACAATCCCAACACTTTCGGAGGCCAAGGAAGGATGATCACTTGAGTCTAGCAGTTTGAGACAAGTCTGGGCAGGATAGCAAGACCCCATCTATATAAAAAAATCTGAGGCCGGGTGCAGTGAGTCACACCTATAATCCCAGCACTTTGGGAGGCCAAGGCAGGCAGATTACTTGAGGCCAGGAGTTCCAGACCAGCCTAGCCAACATGGTAAAACCCTGTCTCTACTAAAATAACAAAAATTAGCCAGGTGTAATGGTCCATGTCTGTAGCCCAAGCTATTCAGAAACTTGAGGCAAGAGGACCATTTGAGCCCAAGAATTCGAGGTTACAGAGAGCTATGATCATGCCACTGCACTCTAGCCTGGTTGATAGAGCAAGTCCCTGTCTCTTAATAATAATAATTGAGTTTATAAATAAAAATCAAAGCCTTAAACAGTCTTATGTGGTGCACATTTTAATGTGGCCATCCCTACAGGGGTTCTTCTCACCTTAGATATAAAATAGAAGTGTCACATGAAGACATTCTCAGTATTCTAATTTCTTGTAAATTCAAGAATCTCATGACACAAGCCTTCATATTTCTCAAAAAGAATTACTCTCCTCACAGATATCCTCCCAGAGATGTCTGGATCAGAGGCAGCATCCAAGAAGTGTTTTAAGAGCTGCCCTCGGCCGGGTGCGGTGGCTCAAGCCTGTAATCCCAGCACTTTGGGAGGCCGAGGCGGGTGGATCACGAGGTCAAGAGATCGAGACCATCCTGGTCAACACGGTGAAACCCCGTCTCTACTAAAAATACAAAAAATTAGCTGGCATGGTGGCACGTGCCTGTAATCCCAGCTACTCAGGAGGCTGAGGCAGGAGATTGCCTGAACCCAGGAGGCGGGGGTTGCGGTGAGCCGAGCCGAGATCGTGCCATTGCACTCCAGCCTGGGTAACAAGAGCGAAACTCCGTCTCAAAAAAAAAAAAAAAAAAAAAAAAAGAGCTGCCCTCTCTGTCCAACTCTGACACAGTATAGCAGTGAATGTACCTAAAAAACAAGGGGTCAAAACCCCTTTATCTCTCAAACATTCCCCTGCCAAAAAAAAAAAAAAAAGAATACTGATCTTACAAGGAAGTCTGTAAGGATATAAAGTAAGAAGATACCTGTATTGAAGGTTTTCATAAGTTTACAGAATAAATCCCAAGGTGGGTCAAATTCCAGCATGGCTCTTTACAGGACAAGTAAGTGATGATCTGGTCACACAAAAGTTTTCTCACATCAGTGACAATTATGTAGTAACTTTTCATTATTATTCTCAGTAAGATTTTTCCTCTGGCAAAGACTGTCCTTAATAGGTATATTTGGAATGTCTTTCTCCAGCATGAGTTATCTGATATTGATGGAATGCCTTCCACATTTCTCTCTGGTACAAATCCTTCTGCAGCGAGTGAGAACTGAGTGGTGGCTGAAGGCATCCTTACATTCACTGTATTCACAGGGCTTCTCTCCAGAGTAACTGCTCATGTGTTAAGAAAGAGCTGACCAAAAAAAAAAAAAAAAAAAAAAAAATGAAGTTTCCTGACATTCTTTGCACTTGGAGGATTTCTTCCTCTATTGTGGGTCCCATTATGAATGATAAAATAGGAACAGTCGGTGAAGGCCTTGCTATATTCATTGCAGTAGGGTTCTCTCATGTGTGGACTCTTTGGTGCTGCAGAAGGTGTGACCTGCGTTTGAAGGCTTTCCCACACTGGATACACTTGTAGGGCATTTCCCCAGTGTGAATGACAGAGTGCTGAATGAGGTATGTGCTCCGGTGAAAGGCTTTCCCACACTGGGTGCATTCATAGGGCTTCTCCCCAGTGTGAATCCGCTGGTGCTGCATGAGTTCTGAGCTGCATCTGAAGGCCTTTCCACACTCCATGCAATCATAGGGCTTCTCTCCAGTGTGGATGATGTAGTGTTGAATTAGGTGAGCCCTATTGCTAAAGGCTTTCTCACATTCTTTGCACTCAAAGGGTTTTTCTCCAGTATGGGTCCTATTATGGCGAATAAAAGTAGACCGATGGGTAAAGGCCTTTCGACACTGACTGCACTCATAGGGTTTCTCTCCAGTGTGGATTGGATGGTGCTGCATGAGGTATGACCTGCGTTTGAAGGCCTTCCCACACTCAAGGCACTTGTATGGTTTCTCCCCGGTGTGGATAAGGTAGTGCCGAATAAGAGTTGAGCTCTGGCTAAAGGCTTTCCCACACGCATTGCATTCATAGGGTTTCATTCCAGTGTGAACCCTTTGATGTCGAACAAGATACCACTTCCTGTTAAAACCTTTCCCACACTGTTTGCATTTGTAGGGGTTTGTCCCTGCACAAATCAAGGTGTCTTTCCCTGGCTGCTGTGAGTCACATTCATGGAGAACATCTGCTGATAACCACTCTTGTAATGCCCTGGAGTGCAGACTGTCATTTGTCTCCAAACCTTGACCTTCAAGGCTCTCTTTCTGCAGATGGGTCTCCTTGTGGGGGTCTGTCTCTGGTGTCACCTGACCTTTCTGCATTTCCAAAAGCCCTTCCTGATCTCTAGATCTCCCCAACCTTGAATCACTTGAACATTCCAGAGTCAGGCTTCCCTGGAGAAAGGCCCGCTTAGATAAGACTGGTAGGTAAGTGGTTGGCTCTGTGGTCTGAACTTGTGCTTTGTCACCTGAAGGGCATTGACAAACAAAGGAGGGGACTTTTAGTGATAAAATATAGAAAAAACAAAATAACCACTTCAGTAGGAAAATAAAGATGGAAATAGTGCCTGTGATACTTGCTGCATTTTTACATCTGTAACCCAAGTTTCCAAATACTTCGTATGGTCCTTGTATCTTTGACACTATTAAAGAGAAAATCTGGAGGGCAGACTGGACCAAGGGACAGAGGATTCACAGTACTGACATTCACAGTACTGACATTCCACAGTTCAGAGTAAGGAAGAGATAATAAATTTTCATCACATTGTCTGAAGAGCATTTGCTTCAAGTGTTGAAGACTTACATCCATCTGACAAGGGATTAATAACCAGAATATATAAGGCACATAAACAACGCTATAGGAAAAAAAATCTAGGAATCTGATTTTAGAATGTGCAAAAGATACGAATAGACATTTCTCAAAAGAATACATACATAGCCGGGCGCGGTGGCTCAAGCCTGTAATCCCAGCACTTTGGGAGGCTGAGGCGGGTGGATCACAAGGTCGAGAGATCGAGACCATCCTGGTCAATGTGGTGAAACCCCGTCTCTACTAAAAATACAAAAAATTAGCTGGGCATGGTGGCGCGTGCCTGTAATCCCAGCTACTCAGGAGGCTGAGGCAGGAGAATTGCTTGAACCCAGGAGGCAGACGTTGCAGTGAGCCGAGATCGTGCCATTGCACTCCAGCCTGGATAACAAGAGCGAAACTCCGTCTCAAAAAAAAAAAAAAAAAAAAAAAAAAGAATACATACAAATGGCAAACAGGTACATGAAAAAGTGCTCAACATAATTGATCATCAAAGAAATGCAAATCAAAACTACAGTGAGATATCATCTCATCCCTGTTAAAATGGCTTTTATCCAAAAGACAGGCAATGGCGGCAAGGATGTGGAGAAAAGGGAGCCCTTATATTCTATTGGTGGGAATTTAAATTATTAAACTACCATAGAGAACAGTTTGGAAGTTCCTCAAAAAACTAAAAATAGAGCCACCATATGATCCGGCAATCCCAATATAGATATATACTCAAAAGAAAAAAATACCAGTATATCAAAGAGATATCTGCACTCACATGTTTATTGCAGTACTAGGCACAATAGCCAAGATTTGGAAACAATTTAAGGGTCCATTAACAAATGAATGAATAAAGAAAATTTGGTGTATATACACAATGGGTTACTATTTGGCCATAAAAAAAGGAGATCCTATCATTTGCAGCCACATAGATGGAACTTGAAATCATTATGTTAAGTGAAACAAGCTAGGCACAGAAAGACAAACATCGCATGTTCTCACTCATTTGTCGGAGCTAAAAAGCAAAACAATTGAACTCATGGAAACAGGGAGTAGGAAGATGGTTACCTGAAACTGGGAAAGGCAGTAGGGAGGAAGTGAGGATGGTTAATGGGTACCAAAATAAGAATTAATAAGACCTAGTATGTGATAGCACAGCAGGGTGGCTACAGTCAACAGTAATTTACTGTATACTTTAAAATAACCAAGGATATAATTTGATTGTATGTAACACAAAGAAAGGATAAATGCTTGAGGTGACGGATACTTCCTTCACCTTGCTGTGATTATTGTGCATTGTATGCCTGTATCAAAATATGCACCCCATAAATGTGTACACCTATGTACCCACATAAGTTAAAAATTAAGGCCAGGCACAGTGACTCACACCAGTAATCCCAGCACTTTGGGAGGCTGAGGCAGGCGGATCACCTGAGGTCAGAAGTTTGAGACCAGACTGACCAACATGGAGAAACCCTGTCTCTACTAAAAATACAAAAATTAGCCAGGTGTTGTGGCGCATTCCTGTGATCCCAGCTACTTGGGAGGCTGAGGCAGGAGAATCACTTGAACCCAAGAGGTGGAGGTTGCGGTGAGCCAAGATCGTGCCATTGCACTCCAGCCTAAGCAACAAGAGTGAAACTCTGTCTCAAAAAAATAATAATAATACATAAATAAATAAATAAACTGAAGCCCCTTGGTGCTATGAGAGTTTAGGCAAGTGGCACCTAACAAGACTGGAAGGAAAAAAAGATGATGGAAGGCTTTCCAGAGGAGGTATCCCATAAGCTGAGTCCTAAAAGAGAAGCCAGAGTCATTGCCAGAGAGAGGAAGTGGGCAATGGGTTGAAAGTGAGGAAGTAAAAATGGGCATATTCACCCTTTGGGAACAAGATGCCTGGTGAAACCAACATAAAAGGGCGATTAGAGTTGGAGGACGAGAATGAAGAACCCAGCACAAAAGGGACAGAAGGACACCCAGGAACAAATGGTACAAAAAGCCAAGCATGGTAAGATCTGACAAGTTCTAGCTGCGTTAGGAGGCAGTGCATGACAGACAAGAGGGTACCAGAGACAGTAAGCCTCAGTTCAAATCCTGCCTCTGTCAAATGGGTTGATATTGGAGGATGACTTTCTCTACCAGGTCTCAAATTCCTCAGCTAAGAGACTGAGATTTAATTTCTCAGGTTGTCATGAGGTTAAATGAGACATTATCATTATTATTCTCATTGCTGCACTGGGCAATTAGGGTAATGGCAGTGACATGAACAAGAACAACTTGAGTACTGTGATCTGAGGAAACGAGCAGCTGTGCTTCATAAAGTGGCCAACATCACATGCTTAGAAGACCTGAGTGGAGCAGCACCTGGCTGGTGGAGATAGGATAGGAAATGGTATGGCTACTCTGGAAAGATATTTGGGGGTCTAACTTAAAGCTGAGCACAGATCTTTCTCGACTCCACCAGTTGTCTCCTGGGTGTATATGCAACAGAAATTAGTGTTTATATCCACTAAATAATTATGAAAAATAATTATTCATAAAAACATTTTTCATAATCTCCAAACAATGTAAACAATACAAATGTCAACCAATAGGAGAGCGAAGAAATAGATCCTGATGTTTTCACACAATGTTATGGTACACAGCATACAGGATGAACTCAGCTCATGGACATAATGATGGTGAAAAGAAGCAGCACACAAAAGAGAAAATGGTTTGGGGCTTCAATTATGCCCATTCACAACCAATTAAAAACTAATCCCTAGGGAGAGAGTCTAAACAGTGGCTACCACTGCAGGAGGAGCTACTGACAAAGACAGGGTGACAGGAATTGCCAAGGTGCTGGAAATACTATAAATCTTGACCTAGATGAAGAATTCTTCAATTTGTAGAAATGCAAAAATTAAAGCTGAGCTCCTCAGATTTGTACATATTATTGTACACATAAGGGTTTTTTTTTTTTTAAATTTGGGAAATTTTAAACAAAATAAACATTAAAGTCAAGTGTAAACATCTCTTTCAAACATGAGACAACTCCAAGAAGCTTGGTTTTATAAGTGGGATCAACACAAGTTATAGGATATTGTAGGTGAAAAAATGTTTTGTCTGTTTTCCCTAAGTGTAAGCAGTAGTACACTTTTTTGTTGTTTAAACTTATATTGACTTTCTGCTTTTTTATTGAGCACACTTTTTATTTTGAATATAGAGAAGTTGAAGGCACAGACAAAACAGAGATTTTGTTAAAAACCAAGTTCCCGGCCAGGCGCTGTGGCTCAAGCCTGTAATCCCAGCACTTTGGGAGGCCGAGGCGGGTGGATCACGAGGTCAAGAGATTGAGACCATCCTGGTCAACATGGTGAAACCCCGTCTCTACTAAAAATACAAAACATTAGCTGGGCATGGTGGCACGTGCCTGTAGTCCCAGCTACTCAGGAGGCTGAGGCAGAATTGCCTGAACCCAGGAGGCGGAGGTTGCGGTGAGCCCAGATCGCGCCATTGCACTCCAGCCTGGGTAACAAGAGTGAAACTCCATCTCAAAAAAAAAAATCAAGTTCCCGGAGAACACAGCAGGTATGATGCAAGCACTGGTAAAGACACTGGCCATGAGTAGAGGTGAGATCTCCATAATGGACAAGAAAAGCCAGCTATGAGACTGCAGATGAATCTTTAAGAACATTAAATAATTCTGTTTTTAAAATGAAGTAAATTATATACTGAGACATCAGCTGCTGGGGAAGCAGTGAAAATCTGAAACACATCTGAGTGGCTCCAAGAGCCGGTGCAGGAACAAGAGCTCCCCAGAAGCATGGGGCAGATGTCGGGAGATTTATTAGCAGCCTCTGGTATGGTGCAGGCAAAAGATGATGAGAGCATGGACGACGGTGTTGGTGAAGGAGCCACTGAAAGCGGTGGAGGTGATGGACTCAGGAGATACGGATCACTTAAAATGAGCAGGACTGTGGATGAATGGATGCTGTGTTTGATGAAGTTAGGGGGGAATCCAGGAGCTACGTGACATTTCCAGCTTTCTGGCCTGCTTAGATGGCAAGATGTTCTCTGAACCAAGTGTCTTTTTAGGCATCAGGAGCTAGAGGTGCCTCTGAGACACAAGTGGAAATGTGGTATTGTGGGAATGGGTAGGGAGGTATTTGGAATACCCAGGGTTGCAGATGGGGCTGGCTGAGAAGCCTCAGAGGAGAGCCCATGACTCAGTGGTGATACCAATCCATGAGGCAGACAGCTCCAGCTACACTTATCAGCACAGATGTAGGGCAGAGAAGACCAAATGTCATGTTGGTGTTTTTTGGGGCAAGAAGAGCAGGAAGATACGGGGCAAAGGGCTGCTTCTGAGTGTCTGTTGGTCAAACTGGAGGATGGATGAGTGGATGGAGAAGGTGGAAAAAGAGTGGGATTCATAGCATAATGCAGATAGTAGATATATCAAGGGGAAGAAAGTCCCCTTTCTCTGAGTCCAGAAAGAAATGTGTGATACTACTTTTTTTTTTTTTTTTTAAGACGGAGTTTCGCTCTTGTTACCCAGGCTGGAGTGCAATGGCGCGATCTCGGCTCACCGCAACCTCCGCCTCCTGGGTTCAGGCAATTCTCCTGCCTCAGCCTCCTGAGTAGCTGGGATTACAGGCACGTGCCACCAGCTAATTTTTTTTTTTTTTTTTTTTGTATCTTTAGTAGAGACGGGGTTTCACCATGTTGACCAGGATGGTCTCGATCTCTCGACCTCGTGATCCACCCGCCTCAGCCTCCCAAAGTGCTGGGATTACAGGCTTGAGCCACCGCGCGTGGCTGATACTACTTTTTTTAAGGCCAGGTGTAGTTGCTCATGCCTGTAATCCCAGCATTTTGGGAGGCTAGGGCGGGCAGATCACCTGAGGTCAGAAGTTCGAGACCAGCCTGATCAACGTGGAGAAACCCCATCTCTACTAAAAATACAAAAAGTGTAGCTGGAGTCATCTGCTTCATGGATTGGTATCACCACTGAGTCATGGGCTCTCCTCTCGTGCTTCTCAGCCAGCCCCATCTGCAACCCTGTGTGTTCCAAATACCTCCCTACCCATTCCCTCAGTCCCACATTTCCACTTAAGTGTCTCACTACTTTTATTTATTTATTTATTTATTTATTTATTTATTTTTTTGAGATGGAGTTTTGCTCTTGTTACCCAGGCTGGAGTGCAATGGCGCGATCTCGGCTCACCGCAACCTCCGCCTCCTGGGTTCAGGCAATTCTCCTGCCTCAGCCTCCTGAGTAGCTGGGATTACAGGCACACGCCACCATGCCCAGCTAATTTTTTGTATTTTTAGTAGAGACGGGGTTTCACCATGTTGACCGGGATGGTCTCGATCTCTTGACCTTGTGATCCACCCGCCTCGGCCTCCCAAAGTGCTGAGATTACAGGCTTGAGCCACCGCGCCCGGCCTACTTTTATTTATTATAATTAAAACTACACATGGACAATACTAAAGAGCTGACATTTTCCGATCTATGGACCAGGAACTGAACTAAGCAGTGTCATGCATTATCTCTACATCCTCAAACAACTCAGTGACACAGAAATTATCTCACTCTGATTTTTTTGAGTAGAGGAGCCTGAGGTGATATAAACCAAACCCACTAACTCTTCTCCTTGGGCACCTAGCCAGATCACATTTGTCAGTCCTGAGCATACAGGTGTGGCCAAATGCCTAGTTCTTGTCAAGACTATGTGGTTGTAAAGTATGTGTGCAACTGGGTATGGCTTCTCCCCTTCCTGTTCGCCTTCTACCAGCTGGATTGAGCCAGAACAACCATAAAGATTCCTGTTTACAGTGGAAGGTACCTGTGTCAATGAATAACTGTGTGGCTCAGTGCGCACCTGATGAGGTACACTATACCCCATTGTGAGTTAGAAACAACCAGGCCCCGGACAGGCCACAATCAGCAGTTTCATGCAGAAATTCAGAGGCAATGGCGCCCTCACACTCCGAAGACTGCCGTGACTCTACCGGACCAGCTGGGGGCTGCTTACCTGCACAGGTAGGGTGTGAATGGTCTCTCTTCACTGTCCACAGCTCCTGCCCATGCTCTAGCAGGTGGACCAACTCTGGTTTGGGAACCCAATACCCTGTGGATAGCAAAAGAAATAGAACAGGGATAATTTAATGAGAAAATGAAGTCTCTCCATCCTGCCTAGGACTTTATGACAGGGGCCAGAACATAAATGAAGCTGCTCCCAAAATAAGCAAAATGCTGATGTGAGACCTGAAAATCAAGGCATTGTTCTGAGTGAACTGTGTTCCCCACAAAAGTCATATGTTGAAGCCCTAACACCCAGTGTGGCTGTATATGGAGACAGGATCTTTAAAAGGTGATTAAGATTAAAGGAGTTCATAAGGATGGAGCCTTAATCTGATAGGACTATGGCCTTATAAGAACAGGAAGAGAGGGACAGCGATCTCTCCTCCATGTGAGAACACAGCAAGGCAGCCATCTGGAAGCCAGGAAGAGAGGTCTCAATAGGAATCAAACTTACCAGCACCTTGATCTTGGACTTTCCAGCCTCCAGAAGTGTAAGAAAATAAACTGGTTGTTTAAACCACTGAATCCATGACATTTTATTATGGCAGCCAAGTAGATCAAGACAGGCACAAATCCCATTATTGGGCTACAACTGCCTTAGAGGGTAGTGCTGTCTACACTACACCCACTGCCCACGACCTCCATCTACAGAAGCCAACATTGTTAAGGCACACACCACTTTGACAGCCATAGGACACTGCAAAGGTAGGCCCTTTCCTCCAGACAGCATTTTCTTTCTTTTTTGTTTTTTTGTTTTTTGTTTTTGAGACAGAATCTCACTCTGTTGCCCAGGCTGGAGTGCAGTGCTTGGCTCACTGCAACCTGTGCGTCCCAGGTTCAAGGGAATCTCGTGCCTCAGCCACCGGAGTAGCAGGGATTACAGGCATATAAAACCACACCCAACTAATTTTTGTATTTTTAGTAGAGACTGGGTTTCACCATGTTGGTCAGGCTGCTCTCGAGCACCTGGCCTCAAGTGATCCTCCTGCCTCAGCCTCCCAAAGTGCTGGGATTATAGGTGTGAGCCACTATACCCGGCCCCAGAAGGCATTTTCTGACAAATGTAAATCATTGCTTCTCAAACACCTCATGCTTCAGAACCACCTGGGGATGCCAGATTCCAACCTCAAACCAAGTGAAACAAAATTTCTTTGTGTGAGACCTGGGCATCAGTACTTCTAAAATGTACAGAAGATTTTGGTGCCCAGATGGGGTTGAAAACCACTGGCTGAGCCTGGGCATGGTGACTCTTGCTGTAATCACAGCACTTTAGGAGGCCTAGGCAGGAGGATCACTTGAGGCCGGGAGTTTGAGAACAGCCTGGCCAACATAGTGAAACCTTGTCTCTGCCAAAAATACAAAAAAAATTAGCCAGGGGTGGTGGTGTGCACCTGTGGTCCTAGCTACTCAAAGGGCGGAGGTGGAAGGATTGCTTGAGCCTAGTAGGCAGAGGTTGCAGTGAGCTGAGATCATGCCACTGCACTCCAGCCTCAGTGACAGAACTAGACTCTATTTCAAAAAAATTAAAAAAGGAAAAGAAAAACCACTGTTTGAAATAAATTGGTAAACCAAGAGTCTTCATAAGGCAAGTGACCAAAGCTGGATTCTCATTGTGAAAAGAAGCATTTATGCCAGGGTGGAGGGAGGGATTGAACATGGGAGGCCTGCTGCCCCAGTCAGGGCTGCAGCACCCAGCATCCCTGTGCGGAGCCAGCCTGAGGACACAATAGAGTAGCCTGAACCAGGAAGGAGGAACAAGGAACTCTGACATTCTTGATGGCATCTTGGGCTTCACCACAGAACAAGCCTGGAGCCAACCACACCTCAGGCTTCTCATTTGGTGAGTTAGTGAAGCTCCCTCCAGATGAAGCCAGTTTGATCTGGTTTTCTGTTATGTGCAGTCAAATGCTTTCCACTAGATGTGGTGAGTAAAAGACAGGAGGATTCTGTATAGAAGACCACCAATGACTGAGGTACAAGGACCTACAGATAAAACCAACTGGCAGATTCTGATCCATAGCCCAGGATTCCTTCAAACATGTCTCAGTAAGGTCCACCAGTGTATGCTACATGCCTGGCTTTGAGCTCTGAGACAGTGCTGTGGGAAAGGTGAATCAGATGATACTTTGGCTCTGCCAATAGCTGAGCTCCCTGTCACTTTTCACACACTGGTTCCTCCACCTGGAACATCCTTCCTTTCCTTTACTTCTATCCAGCTGACTCCTACTCAGCTTTCAGGTCTCAGCTCCACCATCCCTTCCTAAGATGCCCTCTTTGGAGCACCTATATGAGGTTATGACTCCCTGGTTATTTATTCCTAGTTTCCCCTCATTTTTCTTTCTAGAACTCATTTTAGTTGTCTTCTGTGGATTGATGTCTGCCTTCCCAACTGAACTCAGAGTGTGCCGTCATTTCTAATAACTTCTTTATCCTGATCCATTTTTTCTTAAATATTGTATTCTAAAACGGAACCCTGTTTTGCTCTGGTAGATGAGAAAGTCAGTTTCACTTCCTACACATAGAAGTCTGCAGTCACAACACAACAAAATCAAAAAAATGCCACTAAGTCCCAGCAAGCCCATGTTGCTTTCTCAGGGCTGAACTGGAGGCTGTCTCCTCTATTGAAAAAAAGGAAGGAACTGCACTGGTGGGTGAAAGGAAAGTGAAAGACGCAGCAGTGATCTGAGACTTTTTTTTTTTTTTTTTTTTTTTTTTTTATGACAACAGCATGCTGGACAGAGAAAGTAAAAGGAATGACTTTATCAGGGTATCAACCCATGCCACTTGAGGACATTCCTGTGTACCCTCTAAAAAACACCTCCTGAATCACCAGAGCATGGATGTCCAGCATCAGAAAACAACTAATGATCATGCAGTCACACGGATGCCTTTTTATGGAGATTGTATTGCTTAGGAAGATATCCAGGGGACACTTAAGGACAAATGTCTGCTGGGGGGCTGCCTGACTTGCCCCCTTCTCTGAGAATAGCCCATCACCCATGGCCCCTGCTAACAGGGCTGTGGCCACAGCTGACCCCACCAGGATGGCCAATCAGCTTCCTTCTTGTGGAATCTGGAATAAGGACCTCAGAATGGGCTGAGCACTAGAGTGAGGGTTTCTGTTAAAAGGACGTTTCCTACCCGAGCAATCCCTGATGCAAACAAAGGGAGACCAGTCAGGAAGAGGTGGGACCAGAAAACTGCAGGGTCTGTGAAGGGAAAGGTAGATAGTTCCAGTGACCTTTTTGCCTGACCAGTAATCAAGAAGGTTAGGGTCCTCTTCAGGAATGAGAGACAAGCCATTACCTAGTGAAACCAGGAGCCCACAGGTCTCCAGCATCACCTCTTGGTACAGGGTCCTCTGGGCCAGGTCCAGCTGTCTCCACTCCTCCTGGGTAAAGGTCACAGCCACATCCTTGAAGGTCACGAACATCTGGAAAGTCAAACAGAAGTATTGCTGTTGGCCTCGTGTGGTCGGATAGGATCAGAACCTGTCAGTCAGTCTTTAGTCTTTAGTGCAGAGAGATCCAGGCCTGAATCAGCAAGATCTCTTTAGGGCTGACTTCTGTGTGGGACTCAGAGGGGAGGCAGATACCACTTTTGATATAATGAAATAGTGCCAGAGAGGAGAAAAGCCTTTCACGGGGAAGCCAGTGAAGATGACACAAACAATGGCAATCCCACGAGGACTGCAGGAAGCAGATACTAAGTACCCTGGCATATTAAAAGAATGGAGGAAAATGGCCAATACTAATTCCACTCCTGATAACAGCAACAGCAGCAGCTGAGTCCTCTGGTCCTCATTGTGTTCTTTCCCGGCTAAGGCTTCATTAGCGGTGGTAAAGCAAATAAAGGCATGATTTAAATCAGGCCTCCTGAATCGCACTTGCCAGCTATGTGACCAGGACAATGTCACATGATCTCCCTAAAGCTCAATTTCCAAATCAACAGAATAATTATTCCCATCTCAGCAGGCAGTTCTAAGAACTAAACAGAAAATGTTCACTTAACCTGTGGCGTGCCTAGCACATTGTAAGTGCTTCATGTGTTTGGCAACTTTATTAATCTGACAGGCCCAGAGGTAAATGTCGTTATCATTTCCATTTCACAGTCAACAACCAAGGGCTCAGGGAGCTTTAGAAATCATGCACAGCCTCACATTTAAGAAATAAAAGCAGCATTTGAGCACTAGTAAAAAATACCTCACCAAGCTGCCAGAGAGCAAGCAGCTGGGAGTAAGGGATGCTTTAGCTAGAGCTAGCACTGCCGGGAAGGATGTGGAGGGGCAGCCCTGCAGAGACCTGAGAACAGGGTCCCAAAGGGAAGTGCAAGGGCAAAGGCTGAAAACTGGGAAAGAGCTTGGCAAGTTCAAGACTCCATGGATGAATGCAGTGAGCAAGAGGAGATGGAAGAGAGTGAAGAATATGTGGTCAAAAGCGCAGACCAATCAGAGCCTTGCAGACCATGCTGGACGGAGGGGGTGGATTTATTGGAGAGATGATGGAAGCCCCTGAAAGAGAGGGCTATTCAGTCATCAACCATTTACTGAGTACAATAAATGTACTTAAGCCTGGCTGTTTTGGGTCTTGGGAGAGGGGAGCAACAGGCAATCACATTCCAGGGTTGGAAAACCATCCAAAACAGGCAACTAAATAAATGAGTAAAGCACTGTCAGATGACCTTAAAGATTCAGATGACAGGAAAACACAGCAAGGAGACAAAAGAGATTCTGGTCAACTTTAAACGATGCAAGAGACCAGGGCTCTTTACACAGCAGGCACCAGAGGGACTCAAATAAAGCGAGGGAGGGAGATGTGGATGAGAAATTAACAACTACTACAGGAACTGACTAATCAGGGCTATCATGAAAGTAATCGGGGTGACTACTAGAGATTAACCCTGGGCCTCATGTGTTACATCCAAAGGGACACTGCATTCTGCATGCCATCACCACTGAACATTTTAATGGACTCGTTTTTCACCTGTAACTAAATGTCTTACACAGGAAAATATGCTTAGTTGCAACCCAGCCTCACTTGCCCTAAACTAAGAGACAAATTCTTCAGCCTGCCTTTTCTCCCCAGGCACAGCAACAACTGCAAAAACGCTCCTCCCACCTCTTTCAGCCGCTGCCCTTCGTTTTTGAGAGACAGGAGGCCAGAGGATCAGACTCCTGCTGGGGTTGAGTCTGCAAACCTAGCACAGGTCCAGGAAGCATCTCTGGAAACGGCACCCTGAGCAATGCCCCAGACCGGGCTGTACACTGACAGACACACACACATCATCCAGAGATTAGTTCAAGTTCCCTCAACCCAGGGCGAAAAAAGTAAATATGTCTACTTTCCGCGCGCAGAAATGAAGGACGAGGTCAGTAACGGGACTTGTTGGAAGCCACAAGAAGGATCGCGGTCGCTCCTCTCACCTGTGAGGGGGTCCGGGGCCCTAAAAGCCCTATTTCACACCCTCCACCCCAACGCCGCACCCCAGAAACGGGGGCACACCCCGCGCCACCCCGGGCCTGGACTCCGGACCCGGGCCCGCTCGAGTCCCTTCTAGGCCTCCAAGACTTCGCAGACAGTGGTAGGGACTGCACGGCGAAGGATCCCGCACGCCGTCCTCCCGCTCCCCGGCCTGGGACGCTGAGGCCGAGTGGCAAGGGGAAAGCCGGCCCGCTCTGCTCACCTGCGCTGCGTCCTTCCCCTCCGCCATCGACCGATGGGACGATGGGGCCGCGAGGGACGGCTCCCACCACCAGGTCCTACGTCGGTGCGGAGGTGAGCCCCCGGCTCCTCACCATCCTTGGCAGCACAGTTCTGGGATGCGGACCAGTGCGCCCCACGACAAACATCCACACCGGGGCCGGAAGTCCCGCCCCTGTGTCGCGGCCACCTGCCACGCATTTTCCTGTGGCGACACTGGTTCGGTGCACGCGCGGCCCCAATGCCTTCTGGATAATGTAGTCTTGTCCCGCGACGGGCCAGGATTGGCTCTTTTTTTATTGCACACCATGATTCTGTGTATCTCAGATGATCTTAGGGGAGCAGGTGTACACACTGGATTGTAAATTTTTTAAACTTCCTATTGTTCGGATGCCTCAATGTCCCTACAAGCAGCTGTGAGCACTCGCCCAGACGCGCAGGTACACGTTTGATAAAGGGGGCCCTGCCACGAGGTTCCCTGTTTGCCTCCTCTGAGTGACCCAGTGACATTCCCATGTACCGGTAAAATCTTCGCCTGGTTATTGCGTCCTCCTCCACCCTGACCCGAATACAGGCACCATCACTGGGACTGCAGTCGATCTGGATCCCGGCTTCCTGCGGGGAGCCACTCCCGGGACTGGTTCACGGGGTTCCCTCTGCGGGGACCAGTGTTCCTAGGGCTCAGGGGGGTCTCCACGGGCCATGAGACCCCACCCGCTTCCCGAGTCCAGCTTCTTGACACCATAGCGAGAAAGAATTCAGGAAGGAGTCAAAATGAAGCCAAAGGCAGGAGGCTTTTTTTTTTTTTTTTTTTTGAGACGGAGTTTCGCTCTTGTTACCCAGGCTGGAGTGCAATGGCGCGATCTCAGCTCACCGCAACCTCCGCCTCCTGGGTTCAGGCAAATCTCCTGCCTCAGCCTCCTGAGTAGCTGGGATTACAGGCACGCACCACCATGCCCAGCTAATTTTTTGTATTTTTAGTAGAGACGGGGTTTCACCATGTTGACCAGGTTGGTCTCGATCTCTTGACCTTGTGATCCACCCGCCTCGGCCTCCCAAAGTGCTGGGATTACAGGCTTGAGCCACCGCACCCAGCCAGAAGAAAAAAAAAAAAAAAATTTTTTTTTTTTTTTGAGACGGAGTTTCGCTCTTGTTACCCAGGCTGGAGTGCAATGGCGCGATCTCGGCTCACCGCAACCTCCGCCTCCTGGGCTCAGGCAATTCTCCTGCCTCAGCCTCCTAAGTAGCTGGGATTACAGGCACGAGCCACCACGCCCAGCTAGTTTTTTGTATTTTTTAGTAGAGACGGGGTTTCACCATGTTGACCAGGATGGTCTCGATCTGTTGACCTCGTGATCCACCCGCCTCAGCCTCCCAAAGTGCTGGGATTACAGGCTTGAGCCACCAAGCCCGGCCTAATTTTTTGTATTTTTAGTAGAGACGAGGTTTCACCATGTTGACCAGGTTGGTCTCGATCTCTCGACCTCGTGATCCACCCGCCTCGGCCTCCCAAAGTGCTGGGATTACAGGCTTGAGCCACCGCGCCCGGCTGGCAGGAGGCTTTTATTGGGAAAAGAAAGTACACATTTTTGAGAAGAGTGTGCTTTCCCCAAGAGAAGAGAGAAGTGCGGACGTACGCAGGAGAGTGTGTCAGGCACAGTGGAGTTTGGATTTCTAATTTTATGGGCTCTTCTATTAGGAGGTGGAATAATCGTAAGGTTTTCTAGGAAAAGGTGGAAATTTCTCAGAATTGAGGTGCCAGGCATTTTTATACTAAATGTGGGCATGCTTGAATCTTCCTGGCACTGGTAGGTGTGTGATTTAATGTAGTAATGAGTGTATAATTAGGTCTAGGGTAGGAAATCGATCAAATCTAGCGTCATGGAGTAGCCTAGCCTCCGTCGTGTTTGTTAAGGTCTCATCAGCCCAGTCTTCTTGTTGGTGTAGCTAATTTATGAGCTTGATGTTTTCCTCCTCCTCCTGTGACCACGCAGCATTCCTATTTTGTGGGTGTTTCTTTAATTAGTGAGTGGAATAATTATTAGGTGTTCGGGAAAAGGAGGGAAATTCAGGGACCCACCTGGTTATCGCCCCCTTTCTCTCTCGTTTGGGTTTGCCCAGAAGAGTCATGGACATGTCATCCTGACGGAGATTTTGGCCATTCTCTCTCTCATTTTGGGTTTTCTGTTATCCTCTGGTTTATTTGCCTAGTTCTTGTTTTCAGTTGTAGTTTGAGTTTTTCCATCCTGCTGCAACCACCCAGTGTTATTCCTATATCACTGTGAGTATAAACATCCTTTAATCTTATAGGCTTCTTGAAGTATAATTCCCAAGGCCATGTTGCAGTGGTCCTTAAAGAACCGATAAGGCAAAGAGAAACAAACATGTTACAAATTGTGTTAACAGGAGTAAACCTTATTCAATTGTTAAAGGCTGTAGCTAGCTCAACAGAAGTTTCCTTGACTCTGAAAAACAAAACAAGGATCAGCAATGTTCCAAGCAAAAGTCAAAAAGATTATTTCAGTTTTTCTATTAGTTCAGTCTATTTTGTTAACTCTTGTTCTGCTTGATATTTATAAACATTTTAGCTTTTCCTGAGTCCTGTATGTTTTTCTGTTATCAGAAACCTGCATTTGGGAATACCTATTAAAGTCCTACAGCTAATTATTAACCATATTTGAAGAGACAACAATTGTCTGTAAATGACAAAATGTCCAGAGTGGTTAGTCAAATATATGATTGACAAAAGAATTTTGTTATCTCTATGGTTTGCAATAACTTAACATAACAGCCTTAATTGGGATTGATAGCAAATACTTAGACAATAGAATTTTCAAAATCCCATGCAATTTTGGAACATATATGAATAATATTTACCAAAATATAACCTGAAGAAGATTGGACATCATTTTGGCAATCCCTTGTATCTAAACATGTCAGATAATCCTGTTTACCTCTCTTCTGGATGCCCCAGGGGCCCTCTGTAGCATCCAAAAGCTAGGTGTCAGGAAAGACAATAGATTTGTGGAAACCTGTTAAACATGTTAACAGGTTTAAAATATTTGATGTTATGTAATCGAATTCCAAATTACTTATTTATTTTGCCAAAATGACTCACAAATCTGAAAAAGCAAAAATCTTTCATTAGCCTTTACTGTTACATGAAAATCATGTTCAAGAGGGAGAAAGCCAGATTTTACCCTTGCATTAGTCTACTATTAATGTTAACTCCAATTTTTAGTGAAACTTTATCAGCAAATCTGTCCAATCTTAATCAGTTTGACAATGAGGTGAGATTTTCACAAACCTTTTTTAACCCTTTACAAATGTTGCTAAAGAGTAGACTAGTGCATTGAGCATTCTTTGTGGCCGGGTGTGGTGGCTTATGCCTGTAACCCCAGCATTTTTGGAGGCTGAGGTGGGTGGATCACAAGGTCAAGAGATCGAGACCATCCTGGCCAACATGGTGAAACCCTGTCCCTGTAGTCCCAGCTACTCAGGAGGCTGAGGCAGGAGAATTGCTTGAACCCAGAAGGTGGAGGTTGCAGTGGGCCAGGATCACCCCACTGCACTCCAACCTGGAAGCAGAGTGAGACTCCGTCAAAAAATTAAAAAAAAGAGTTATTTTTATCAGTGCTCAATTTACAGGAAACCATATAATAACCCTTTTGAATTTAGTCAATATATGTTCACAGAGTTTCCTTTGCAAGATTAATTCTTATAATTTTCTCCCAATTTGCCTAAACCTTCAGCTGTATTTTACCTACTTTAAGACAATCGTTTATCCCTAGGCAAAATGTACATTTCCATGCCTTCTTATAACTTTTTAATGAAAAACACATTTTACTGTTTTTACACACCTTGCATGTAAATCTATTTCAGTAGTTTGAATGGCAACTTAGCAATTTTTTTTTTTTTTTCAGACAGAATTGCGCTGTCACCCAGGCTGGAGTGCAGTGGCATGATCTCAGCTCACTACAATCCCTGCCTCCTGGGTTCAAGCAATTCTCCTGCCTCAGCCTCCCAAGTAGCTGGGACTACAGTCACGTGCTACCACGCCCGGCTAATTTTGTGTATTTTTAGTAGAGATGGGTTTTCACTACCTTAGCCAGGATGGTCTCAAACTCCTGACCTCGTGATACGCGCTCCTTGGACTCCCAAAATTCTGGGACCACAGGCATGAGCCACTGTGCTCTGCCCTACCACTTAGCAATATTTAACTTTAAGGTAAAACTTGTTAAGTTGTTTTAATTATGTGCTAGGTGCAGATAAAGTTTAACTCCTTCCAGAATAAGTTAGGGGCGTGGTTACTTCCATATGTTCCCAGACCTTACCCATTGTGAAGAAGTTGAAAAATTCTTAAAGGCCAAAGCAGCAGTTTACAACCTGAAAACACTTAGCAAACCTAGTATATGGCAAGCATAATTTAGACCACATATTTATATCTTGAATATGTTTGTATTTTAGCAATAATCCCTAAAATTGTTTTATTTTTATTTTTATTTTTATTTATTTTATTTTATTTTATTTTTTTGAGACGGAGTTTCGCTCTTGTTACCCAGGCTGGAGTGCAATGGCGCGATCTCGGCTCACCGCAACCTCCAACTCCTGGGTTCAGGCAATTCTCCTGCCTCAGCCTCCTGAGTAGCTGGGATTACAGGCACGTGCCACCATGCTCAGCTAATTTTTTGTATCTTTAATAGAGACGGGGTTTCACCATGTTGACCAGGATGGTCTCGATCTCTTGGCCTCGTGATCCACCCACCTCGGCCTCCCAAAGTGCTGGGATTACAGGCTTGAGCCACCGCGCCCGGCCGATAATTTTAAATTGCTGTATTGTTTATAATACATGCTTGGTTATACTTATATAACTATTTTCTCCTTTATTGTACCTGAGGTAAGAGAAGCTCAGGGAATTCATTCAGGCAGCAAGTGGGGAAACTAGCTCTCAAACCTACATGTCAAACTTGTTTTATTTTTTTTTTAATTTTTATTTATTATTATTATTATTTTTTTTTTTTTGAGGCAGAGTTTCACTCTTGTTACCCAGGCTGGAGTGCAATGGCACCATCTCGGCTCACCGCAACCTCCGCCTCCTGGGTTCAAGCAATTCTCCTGCCTCAGCCTCCTGAGTAGCTGGGATTACAGGCACGCACCACCATGCCCAGCTA